CAACAACAACAACAACAACAACAACAACAACAACAACAACTTCCAAAGGCGAGGGCGAACGGGGATGCTGATGCGGATGCGGATGTGCAGGTGCAGGTGCAGGTGGAGCTGCTGGGCAGACAAGAAACGTTGGTGCTGTGCAACTTCTTGAGCACCAAGGTGTCGGATGCAGTGGTGATCGCTGATGCGCTGGCTAGGAGGTACAACGATAAAGAGCAGGTGATCCCTGGCAGTCTGCCTCATCGCTTCAAGGGCGTGCCTACGGGTGCAGAGTGCTTGGTGGACACCATCAGAGCGCTCGCCTCTCTTACTCAATCCGCTCACTTTGCCAAGCAGAATGCTGCAGACATTGCCGAAAGGTGAGCAGCGGGGAGCGGGCAGCGGGGATGGTGGGAGATGCGTGCAAAGCATTCTTCCATCGTCTCATCCATTGACCTGCTCACACCCGCTCCTTTCCACCTCCCCATCTTGCACCTCCTCTCCAAAGCATCTTGACGCACATCACACCCTCTCACTACCCTCAAGCCGTGCGCTACGAAATCTATCGACTGCTAGACTTGCTCATCTCCAACCACAGATCCGCCCTCTTCTCCACTCCGGAGCGCAGCCATGCTTTCCTCAACGGCTACATCAAGTTGGTAGAGGGCGAAAAGGACCCTAGAAACCTCTTGTTCTGCTTTGCCATGGATCACGTGCTCATGAGAGAGTGCCACTTGAGCCCCGCATTGGCCGAGGTGAGTTGTGGCGCGCGGGGCAAAGCGTGGGATATGCGATGCGTGTTCCTGCGCACGCAAAAAGGCAGGCATCTTGGCGAGAGCGTGCAATACGATGGCCGAGCACTCACCACTGAATCATTGACCCCAACTTCTCGTCACCAAAGAGCTTCTTCGATGTGACGTACTGCTACTTTCCAATCACCTTTGTCGCACCGCCCAACGATCCCTACGGCATATCCAATCTGGACCTCACGCTAGCTCTGCGCCAATGCCTCACCTGCACACCCAGCATAGCCCCCTTTGCCATGCCCTTGCTTCTCGAAAAGCTGGCTGCGAGCGGTGGCAAGGCGAAAATGGAAACGTTGAGGGTGCTGGAGCAAGCTCTGCCAGTGTTTGGTCAAGAGGCGTGTCTGGCGCATGTCAAGAGGATATGGGAGGGCGTCAAGATCGAAGTGAGTTCAGCGTTCGGCGTTCGGCGCATCATTCGTGTTGAGCACGATGCATGCTGACTCTCTTTGAGCTGCTGTTTGTTGTTTTGCTGGCATATGCAGATCCTGCACGCTACGGACGAAGCCACATCATACCTATCTGAGCGCGTGCTCGTGTCTCTTTTGCGCGTGCTGTACGCAGACGCCAAGACGGCCGAAGGACAAGCGCCTGTAATGGTCTCGGAATGTCTAGAGATCCTCGAAGAGCCTTCCAAATCCTTGGCTGGCGGAGCAACGACGATATTGAGCGATTTGGTACGAGCAAGCATCTCCACTTCCTATCTGGCCATCTTTGCCACGTTGGATCAACTGCTGACGTATTGGAAGAACGTGGAGGAGGTGGAGATGAGGGGAACGATTTTGAGGCGCATCTCTAAAATGCTGGAAGCGCTCAGGCAGGCACACGAAGGAAGACGAGAGTGGGCTAATGAGCAGGCGCTAAAGGAGTTGAAGGAAAAGGAAAAGGAAATGAGGGGAGAGAGCGAGGGAATAAAGATTCAGTTGCCTATGGCTCTGATGCCGGCTCACCAGGAGCAGAGCAGACCTGCTTCTAATGTCGATGATGCCACGCACACTACCCCTCCGAGCTCAATCGCAACCTCGCAGAGAGACTACGACACGGATCAAAGACCTCTTGATCCTTTCCGGTCGGATCTGATATCTTGCCTCTCCAACGCGCTCCAAAGCACCTCTTTCAAACCTCAAGCTCTTCAACTCCTATCTCCTCTGCTACACATCAGGTCTTTTCTGGATGAAGCAGAGATCAAGTTTGTTTTGAGTCTGGTCAATGAACTCATTGTGGATGTGCAAGCGGACGGTAGTAGCAGCGTCAAGAGGAACTTGAACGAGGATGTGAGGGTGGAAGCGCTACGAGGTCTGAAGGATGTTGCCAGCGTTAAGGCCAGGCTGTTGGAAGAGACTACTCTGCCATTGCTGTTTGGAGCTCTGCCAGATCGGATCGAGGTGGGGATGCCCAACGCCGCCTCTGAGCCCACTGCTTCCTCTACCTCTACCTCTGAGCTGCACCAGGAAAGGCTGCAGAGAACAATGAATACGACCCGACTAGCCCTGAGTGCTCTGGCTTCTCTCTGCGCTCAACCCGATCTCTTCTCCCTCTTTGTCCCAAGAGTATTCAACAAACTTCAAAGCGTCTGCCCACCTTTCTCTCAGCCTGGTATGTCGATCGAAGCGAAGCGCCTGCAGGATGAAATAAATGGAGGGTATGCTAGAGGTCTATTGGAAACCTTGAGGACGCTCTTGCAGAGCAAAGAAAAGGAAGCACATACGGACTTGCCTAGATACGCTTCGGATCTCTTGCCGAGACTTTTGGCGCTCGTCATAGATGGTGCCATCTCCTCTTTCTCCTGCTCCCGCTCGTCTAGGCAAGAGGAAAAGGAGGCTGGAAATACTGCCAACGATTGGAGGTTCGTGCAGGGTGTGGGAGAGATCGTCTGCATGCTAGTCAAATTTTTGACGTTGGAGCGACAAGAGATAATCTCAAGAGGGCTGCATGCGCTTGTCCTGCGCGGCACGTTGGATAGCGCATTGGCACTTCCGCTTCGATCCCTTCCCACCACCTCTAGCACCATCCAATTTTGTCCCCTCACGACGGGTGCGCCTCCTTCGCATCGAGCAGCTCTTCCAGCTATCCTAGACGCTCTTCGAAGTCTCGACAAGTCCGTCTCCTTTCCCCCTTCTAGCCCGGACGCGCAATCTTTGCCGTCGAGGGAGTGGACAGAGAAGCTTTTGGAGTATGCGAGTGCTAGCGCGCAGGATAGGTCTGCTGCCGGTCGAGCGCAGGAGAGAGCGGCCAGGGCTGCGCTATGCGTCTTTTTCAACAAGAATGTAGAAGAACCTTTGAGCGCTTCGTTGGTGGAGCTTTTGGACGAGACATGGGAGCAGGGCGTACTTGGTCGATCGACGGAACAAGAAGAAGAAGCAGAAGAAGCGCTCCAGAGACAAAGAATCTACCTTAGATGCTACGCTGCGATGGTCAAGGGAATGGTGGCAAGGAATAGCAAGGCTGCTCAATCCGCCCTAGACAGAATCATGCGACTTTTCCAGCATGCCCAATTGGGCAGAGATGCGGCGAGATGCCTGGGCGATGTGGCACCGGATGAGGAGGGATTGTTGAGCAAGAAGAACGGGGCTGTGCTCAAGGTGAGTATCTCTGCTTGATGATGTAGCTAGCGACTTTGAGCAGATTCGGCTGACCATTGCGCTCATTTTCGACCTCGTAGCTCTTGCATAAACAACGTTTCTACTCCTTTGTCATTCCTCGAATCGTCGATGGATTCCGGACATCTCAAAGCGAAGATTTGAGTCGCGATGCAGACCCGGCGTCAGAGAGGCCGGATCAGCGGAATAAGAGTCGAGCAGGAGTCTACCTCCTGGCACTGTCCAGTCTACTCCCCTCCATGCCTCGTCAAACCATCCTAGAACGTCTCAAAGATCTTTTCCCACTCTTGATCCTCGCTTTGGACTTGCAGGATTCGGCAGCGAAGGCTAGCGCGGCCACTACCATTGCTGTTTCGGCCGCTATTGGAAAGAAGGAGAGACAGGATCATTTGTTGGCGCAGAGCAAACCGGAGGGTGCACCGACTGGCAAGGAGCCCTTGCCGTTGGATTTGGTGGAGCAGCATTTTGGGACGATTGTGACGAGACTTGTTGCGGC